ACCGGTTCAGATTTATGTATAATTCCCATATATACTTTTGTCCATTTTCATGCAAATGGTGCACCGATGAGCTTATGTATTTTCGTTTTACAGGAGATATTGGATTGAAATTTGTGGGCGGTTCAGGTTTGGATATAGCTTTTACATATATTTCCATCCGATTGCATCTAAATGGTGTACCAAATAACTAAAATTCTTTCGATTGGGACAACGTATAAAATTGGAGCTACAATATCGCGTATTTGATTTTGTAAAATATATTCATATGCAAATATAACCCCTATTTGCAATTTGTGCCCTAGCGAGATAAAATTGTGGACAGCGCACTGTGATGCAGCATATCAAATAGCGAATACCACGTTTTCTCAAATACGTTCAGTTTTACATATAGCTCCCATACAATATTTTGCTCGATTTCATACAAATTCCCTTTCAATAGTCCTCCAAAGGTGCTATATCTGTTCTATTTACAGGATATTGTACATATTACTAAATCTTGTATGTACCCATTGTAGTGAAGGGTATCATATAGTCGGCCCCGTTCGACTTTTGAACTTTCCTTACTGGTTGGATATATAGGAGGTGATGCAAATGTGGTATACCCATTTGTTTTTAGATTGCCAAATTTTTATTTTTTATCCGATTAAATTGAAATTTTACTCTTAAAATTCTACATGTGTTGTCTTTCCATGTATCAATTTGAAAATAATATTATTCTAACAATTTAAGAGATATTTGAGAAAATATTTGAAATTCCAATAAAAGTGATTTAAAAAAAGTGCAGGTAATGTGGTATACCACATGATGTTAATTTTCACTCCCAATTAATATCTTATTTAATTTTTTGTTTTTAATGAATGTGAATTAGCTCGAGATTTTTGTCTGTTAAGATTTTTATCGGATACGTTGAGTGGAACTTAAATTTTTATTATATAATAATAGCTACACATGGCAATATTTAATTTTTGTATGGAGAAGTTGTTAAAACTCATAGCCTTTGTTTTTCATCCTTGTGATTTATGGTAGACTCTCGTAGAGTACAAATATTTCAAATAGTAATGAGATTTTGTCTTGTGCTGGCTTTTTCATGCAGACTCATGGTATACCACATTACCTGCACTTGTGTTTTCTGAAGAAATGTCTAGTTTTTTTCTTAAATTGGTAAATATGTGGTCAATCGCGCATATTATTTGATATTTAGTTCTTACTAATTATTTTATTGCTTTAATAATAAAGATTAAAATACATCTGTAAAAAATTAAACTTCATCCGGAAAAATGTCAATTTCATGAAAAATTTAATTTTTGCTACTGATTCTCAACTTGAGTTAAATAAATTAAACAGATCAGTGCTATCTTAGTTTTTTGAGAACAACAAACTATAGAACATGTTTCAGTTATTCTAAAATTTTCAGTTTACAAAAAAATTGACTATACCACATTACCAACCTATACCACATTTGCATCAACTTCTCTAGTTTAGATTTTGCTAAACGTTTCATTAAAACCAATACTCAATTCGCAGAATACACATTCAGACGTTGATGATGTTTGATGAGTGGACGATAAGCCAATTTTTGGAGGTCTTCATATTGAAGACCTGGAAGTCCTCTCAAGAAGTACTGGATGTCTTCTTATTTGAGACCTGTAAGTCATCTTAAAAATAGCTGAAGGTCTTCAAAATTAGGAAAGAAATGAAACTCCTCAATTCGCTCGGCGTTTGAGAAACTATGGCCAAATCATGGACCTATATTGGAAATATTCTGATCAGAGATGGTCCGTCAGAAACAGTGGCGTAAATGATATACATTTCCAACGTATAATAATACTTCAGAAACGTCGGAAACACATTAGAGTTTTCGATATTGAAATTACATATGCTTACATAAATATACAGTGAGTGTAATAAGTATTTTGCCTCAATAAAAATTTGAAAAAATTCCAATTTATACGCCTAAAGCCAGCAAACTAAAGATGTAAAATGAATTATGTATAATGGAGTACGTTTGTGGACATATTTAGATCGTATTTCTGCAAGAATCACAGCGAAAGACCTATTGGTCTCGAAGATATCGGTCGAAATATATAACAATCCAAAAATGTTTATCACAAAAAAGTATTTTGCTTTTTATTATTATTTTAGAAAAAATTGTTACATAAAACACGTTTGGTTTTTTATAGTTACCATTGCGGGTAACGACATACTATAAGTGATTTGGCAACGATTCCAATAAACCACGGCATTTTTTCGCGAGTATTTTCTCACATTTAGGTTCAATACATTCTCCAGCAATATTTCATTCAATATTTGGTAATTTCTCGTCCTAATCTCAAAATCAGAGTATTAAATATAGTCGTCGCGGCTTCAAAACATCCCAAATATGTTAAGAATAATAAAAAGGAGGTTTTACGAAATATATCGCGATGATAGGACCTTCAAAACTATTAAAACCAAAATCCGAAAAACAAATTATTTAAAAAAATATCGCGAAACCCCATTTTTCTAACTTCGAAAACTTTATGGTTCATTTTTACTGATCTAGGAACCAAAATATACGATGAAAATAGCAATAAGAAGGTCAGATTCAAATATATGGACGGTTTTCTGGCAATAGAAATACATCTTATTTCGAAAATAAATACATCGACCCGTTTATTCCATACTGCATTTTATTCGCAACTGATGGTGTTAATCGGAGATAAAATATAGAATGCGTATTCGCCACCAGCAACCACAGTTTTTTAAAAGACAATAGGATTTGACGAATAATGATGTTTTCTCCCAACTTCATGTATTGGTTTTTATTACTATTGCTTTAGAACTGTTCATATCTTTGAATCTGACCCCCTCATTGGTATTTACATTGCATATATTGGTTCCTAGATCAATATTACTGGACCATAGAATTTTTCGTGCAAATGGAATGATTTTCAAAGACTTTGGTGCACCATTTACCTAAAATCGTGCGACTATATATATATATATATATATGGGAGCTTTATATACATCTGAACCGATTTTCATGAAACTTGGCACACATTATTATATACGCAATTCAGCACTCTATGCCAAATTTCGTGCAAAGATATATATATGTATATATATCTTAATCTGACCCGATTTTCACGAAACTCATCCCACATCATTCCAGGAAACTTGGCATAAAGCACTCTAGGCTCTATTAAGTACGTTATGCCAAATTTCGTGCAAATCGAAATATATATAGGGACTTTGGTGCATCACTTACATAAAATCGGACGAAACTATATATGGGAGCTATATCTAAATCTGGACCGATTTTCACGAAACTTGGCAGACATCACTCTAAGCTTAATTAAGTACGTTTTGCCAAATTTCTTGCAAATCGAAAGATATATAGGGACTTTGGTACACCATTTACATTAAATCGGACGAAAATATATATGGGAGCTATATCTAACTCTGGACCGATTTTCAGGAAACTTGGCAGACATCATTCTAGGCTTAATTCATTACGCTGTGCCAAATTTCGTGGAAATCGAACGATATATAGGGACTTTGGTGCACCATTTACATAAAATCGGACGAAACAATATATGGGAGCTATATCTAAATCTGGACCGATTTTTACGAAACTTGGCAGACATTATTCTAGTCTTAATTCATTACGCTGCGCCAAATTTCGTGCAAATCGAACGATATATAGGGACTTTGGTGCACCATTTACCTTAAATCGGACGAAAATATATATGGGAGCTATATCTAAATCTAAACCGATTTTTCTCAATTTCAATAGGGTTCGTTCCTGGGTCAAATAAGTGAACTGTGCCAAATTTCATCCAAATCGGATCATAAATGCGACCTGTACTTTGTTCACAAAAATACATGGACGGACGGACGGACAGACGGACATGCGTAAATCGACTCAGAAAGTGATTCTATGCATATTCTCAAAAGTAACTATGGGTCTATCTCGATTCCTTTTGCCTGTTACAAACATATGCACAAAGACATAATACCCTGTACCACAGTGTGGTGAAGGGTATAAAAATTGGCAATATTGCCCATATATTCTTCAAAATAATTGTACACGGTGAAAATATTGAAATAAACGACGTTTAATACTTTTATTACATTTTATATGTTTTCAACGTTTACACCTTTTTGGCAGTCGAACCCTTTAAAAAATCGTCATATGGACCATCCCTAATTCTAGTAATCCATATTTTACCCATGAAGAACCAGGGATGGTCCGTGTGACGAATTTTTAGGTTTTCGACCGTCAAAAAGGTGTAAACGTCGAAAACGTCATATACCTGTATAAAATGTAATAAATGTAGTAAACGTCGTTTGTTTCAATATTATCAGCATATAAAGTTATTTTCAAGAATATGTATTATTTTTACATATATCTGACTATTCCTTGCTAGAACTGATAAAAATTTCTAAATTTTTTTGAGAAGAAAATTTTCAAATTTTTTATGGATTTGAGTAAAGCATGCGTAATTTCCAAATTGATTAAAGGAAATAGCTATTTTGTCAAAAACCTAATGGATTTGGGTAGGTTTCCAACGTTTGTATTATGTATTATACGTCGGAAATGTATGTCATTTACGTCACTGTTTCTGACAGACAGACCATCTCTGTGAAGAACCCTGAATTTAAACCAAAATGATTTTGATCGGAAAATGAGCAACGGTCCATTAAAACGTACCTTCATATTCTGTTCAGAATAACCAAAATGGTACACTGGACTTAAATAAATTTGGGTTGTATATTTTTCAAACTACATTATAAATACAAAACTATAATGTGCGAACGTCTAGGTAAAACCTCTTACTGCAAATTGCGCCTATACGAATATTTTTATATTCTGTCATTTCGGTTGTTACATTTCGAAATAACAATTTTCAATTCAATAGTTTCAGGAAAAAATTCGGTATTATCAGGATTCTGGGCACTTTGAATTTTTGAGTAATAAATATAAATTTTATTGTAATTACATTCCAATTTCTAATTACATGTCCACCATCTTCATATCTTTTCAGTTTATTGCATCCTGCTTGGCGTTGGCATTCCGTGGTGCAGATGCTCAGCAATACACAACACCGGTGCCAATTCTAAAACAAATCAACAAACATAATTCCGATGGTTCATACACCTACGGTTATGAAGCAGCCGATAAGAGTTTTAAAATCGAAACGAAATATCCAACCGGCGAGGTATATGGAAAATATGGTTATATTGACGATCAGGGACAGCTAAGGGAAATTGAGTATGGAGCAAGTAAACGTGGATTTGAGCCAGCTGGTAAGTTTTTTTTTCAACAACTTCCTAGAAATGTTAACCAACACAACAAAATTCAATGATTACAGGCAGTGATATAAATGTTCCACCACCAACTCTGACAGCCAGTAAATCAACACCATTGGGACCAAATGAGATCGATGATGGCCAATACCGCGAAGATCCAGCTGAATATTACAAAGGACAGAATTTCAATCGGCCTGTAGCAGCCAGCAAATTCAGTTTGAACAATTTCCAACAGCAAAGGCCCCAGCCAGCTTATAATCCAGCACCAGCTCCATATAATCCCGCACCTGCTCCAGCTCCATATAATCCAGCACCAGCCTCATATAGACCACCAGCACCACAATATTATAATCCTCCATCACCCCCACAGCAATCGTACTACCGACCACAACCACCTCAGCCACAATATAATCCCTATAATCCAAATCCCAACCCCAGTCATTTTCACCCCGCCGTAAAAAGTTTAGACATTTGGAGTGGTTCTTACAGTTTGGATTATACGGGACGAAAATAAAAAAAAAAAAAATGGAGGATGTGTGTGGTCATAGTTGTGTGGAGGAGAGTGTCTGCGAGAAGTAAAGGTGTTTTTTCGTGTTTGAGTTGCAGCAGCGCGAGAAATCTCCAAAAATGTGCTATCTTAAGACTAACGAACGATTTTTTAAATAATTTTTTGTTTATATTTTTTTTAATTAATATTTAAGTAATAATGTATGGAAACAAGTGCAAGATATCGATGTGGATTAAATGTAAAATATATGTTCTTATCTACAATTAAAAAATAATAAAAACAAAAATCCCGAAGACGTCGTTGAACAGTTAAGTTAAAATATGAAATAGTAAATGTTTATTAAGGGCCAAGTGAAATCAATATGTTAAAGAGGAAATTGTTAACATAGGCCTCATTTTTTCTATAAACCAATTATATAGATTCCTTATAGTTCGAACATTTGTAGAAGGTATATTATAAAATCAAATGGGAAATTTGTCATATTACTTTTATTTTATCGTTACCATACAATTATATATTCTGTAATCGTCGAAAACAATTAAACCAGATTAGATGAAAAAAAACGTCTGTACATAAAATGTTAAGTAAGGAAAGTAAACGAAATTAGTTACTACATCTACTTTGAAATATTGTCTTTTTTTAATGGTCAAAACATTTTTGACATAAGTGACCGCCCAAAAATTCGGAATACCAAATTACAGCTACTTGTGTTGGAAAATGCCTTTAAAGTCTTCAACAAACCAAATGCAAAATTCATTTTGAAATATAATTACTATATTTTGGTTT